CTATTGTTGGGCAGGAAGGAAGTAGGTTTCTCATGGCACATTTGTCAGTGGGAGTTAGCCATTACATGTGCAAAGTTATATTTCAGAAGAGAAATACTCCCCTCAAACAAGGTTACCAAATTGGCAGCACATTTGACAAATGCACAGTTGAGCTTCCTGATATTTAAAAAAAGACTGACAAAGGGGGAAACAAACAAACAAACAAACATGTTATGCATCTGATATCTGTTCAGTATTAAAGCATTGGTCAATGGGTGGATCAAATACTAGTCCAGTATTTAAGGTATTTATCAGCCTACTTGCTTTTGGTTACCTTTGCATCTCAGCTTTCCATCAAAGAGTGCTCAAGGAACAGTAACAACTAGAGAACTGCACAATAGGAAAGGGCTCTAAATAAGTAGTAGAGCACATACCTTGCATAGAGAAGCTCCTAGGTTCATTCCTAAGAAAGATACCTGTTTGCAGTCTTGAGCCTAGTTAGATCAATGGTCCAATTTTATGAAAGAGCATATTCTACATACCTAGGCATGTGTAGCCTCCTAGCCTGCAGAGCACATGGAATTGATTCACTGATCATCTTCATTGGATACAGTAGTTGATCTTTGACTGCAGAATCTGGGGTGCCATTGAATGGTAATAAAACATACATTGCTCAATAAATGATCTACTATTGGTGTAGGAGGGGCAAGGCAAGAATATCATTTAGATGTTCTGCCTCAAGGATCAGTATTTTGATGTTTCTTACATTCCTGATGTCTAAGTTCTTACAACTTACACTACTGCTTTGATGCTAGGTAGCTGGTTTAGGCTTCTACCTGAATCTTCTATGTACTGCCCATAGATTCCTGCAGCTAGGACCAGCAAAAATAGAAGTATGCAGCTTGTTTGAGAGACTGGAGGGCAGAAATGTATTGGAAATGGTTGCTGTGGAAAAAGTGTCCCTACCCCTAAATGAAGAAATGGCATGTGTGCAATGTCTGAATCTTGCAGAACTGATAAGCAAGAGGCTATCATTCATTCCATTAATATTGGATGATAACATGATACAACAAAAGGGGAAAGCTACAACACATTAAGTTACTTTACTTAAGACCATTATTGAATTCACAGACTATTTCTACAATATTTGAGAGCAGCCATCTGCCACTCTGACTGGTTAGTTGATTATTATCTAACTTACACCACAATGCACAAACACACACAGAACTTGAAATGAACGGTTTGCTTCCATATATAAAACCACAAAAGCATTTAGGAAAATTGAATCAAGCACTGTTGTTACAATATTAAAAATAAAATGTGCATATTACTTTGGCATGTCTACCTACCTATGTTTTACTGATTGACTGCACTTTTAGCCCACTCTTCTTACAGTGAAGTCATTGGCATGAATTATTTTCCATCATCATACATGCACTTATGATCCTTACAACAACCCTGAAAAGTACAATAGGCTGAAAGTTGTTAATTGTCAGAAAATTACCCACTAAGTTTTAAAGCTGGGTCTCCAAGGTCCTTAACTCACATACTGACTAAATGCAGAAATGCAGTCAGAACATCCTATTGTTAGCAAAGTTAAAGAAGCTACAAGGCAGCCAACAATTCCAGTCAGTCGCAAACAGGATCAGAATGCCATACTCACTCAGAATTCATACACGAAATGAAATGTTACAGTCTGACTCGAAAAGCAAACATTAAAGAAAGTGCCCCAACAGACGAAGAAGAATCCAGAATATAAGACAGGGTCAGAGACCAATCTAGAGCAGTTGTTTGAGTACTACGGTTAGGATCTGGGGATTTACAAATCCAGACCTCCTAGGGCAATTATGTGAAGTTGCACTACAAGGTATGCATATTTTCCATACTTTTTTATGGAAGAGGAATCTGATTGATCCAGTATTCCATAACATCCTCATGAAAGCTTTGAACATGCAAGCACAATAAATGCTTGATTTAATAGATCCCCATTTAATGGACATCCAATGCAACAGAACAAAGATGTACGTCTAAATATCCCTCTGAAACAATGGTTAAATCTATCATTACACAAATGATGTGAATGGACACAAAGTACATGTTTTTGTATTTAATGGATGACTGACAATAACAGACATCACCTCAATTAATCTATTAAATCAATGTTTTACTGTGATTTCCTGTGAGTTCACTATCTCAAATTTAAATGAAATCACAGATTTAAAATGCTGATTAATTCACCAAATTTAGTGGGTAGATGGCACAGTCTGAAACAATGTTTAAGAAAGTCGCCTGAATTCTATTACAGTGGATGGTGATTAGGAAAGATTAGGGATGTGAGAGAAATTTGTCTGGTTCATAATTTAATATAAATTTACCTCATTTACATTTTTAACAATATGCAAATTAGAACATAGCTATTTGATTTTACACTTCTAAAGATAAGTCATAATTATGTGATGCAGTTTCTCAGTTGAACTCTGTGTGTGTGTGTGTATGTGTGCGTGCACACACGCATGTGTATAGGGGGAGAAATATAAGCAAATAGGAATGAAAATAATATGCAAAAAGTGCATTCAACCAGATAAAATCACTTGCAAAATTCATATATTACAAATATGTGCTAAAGCATATATTTCCTATACACCTTTAAAAAATAATAATAAATTCATGCAGAACAGGTTAAGGCAGAATTAAGACTGAAAGAGAGAGAGAGAGAGAAACTAATAGATGAATTCATCTTTAGTAGAGATGCAGTAGTTGGCCGATTTTAAATTTTCCAAATTTGTAACATTTCAGGGTTGGTGGGAAATTATAGTTAACAGACCTCTAGATGCTAAAATTGGACACTTGGAAAAATCTTCCTCCCAGTGAAATTCCCAATTTTTCATTGTTCCATTCCTGATTCAAACCCAAATGTCTCTCTCCATTTTTTTTATTTATCTATCTATCTATCTATCTATCTATCTATCTATCTATCTATCTATC